ATGTTTGTCTTTTCAACCCCCACTTTTACAATTTTTACGGATTTTCAATTAATTTCCGTTTCAGAGCTTTTAACTACTTAGCTTTTCAAGTCAATTAACTTGCATGTCCGGAGGAAAACCCATTAAATAACCCCTCGCCCCCGACAACTATGTTTTGTGAACCATTTTTGGACGGTACGTTCGTTGATCACACTGGTGATCGGGCTAACTCACGACATAATAAACTCTGCCAAAGTCACTTTCGAGGAAGCTATGTACTAACTGATTTATCTACTAGATTTTATCTATTAAACGCAACAGTATAAAAATGTTTGCGTAATTTAAATTCAGTGCTTCAAACTAGCCCGTAGGGTTTATACAGCAAAAAACTCTAATGTTCTTATTTTTCACAGTAAAGCTCTTTAAGAATCGTCTTAAAGCGTGTTATTTTGCAGTTTGGGTCTCCCGGCCCACTTGTAATATTGTTAACAGACCAGTGAATGCTCTGATTGGTTTATTTGAGAACTGTTCACACCTTTGATAAAACACAATTAGTTTCAGTACAATTGCCATTAGAGGCTGTTGAAAGGGAAGGAAACATTTCCCTTACTATGCTCCATAAGGCAAATTTGAATTGAAGTCGATCACAACAAGAGAATAACTGGAAACTTAGTTAAAGAGAACCAACACCTTTTACGACGGTCAAATCACTTGAAAAGAAGGTATTAGAATCTCAATATTAAGCATCAAGAGAGAGATCGCGGTGGTGATCGATTTTAGCTTCATCGGTAAGTGGTCGGAATCGTCCGTAACATTACTTAGAGATTCATAAAAGAAATATACGTGTGCCATTATACTTGGTAAATGCTTTACCGATCAGTGTTCTTCCTAACAAAAATTAGTCCAAGTCCAAGTTTTTATTATATCTTACACAACTTTGATAATGACTCACTTTTCGTGCAAAAAAGCGGAAAATCAAGCTATCTTTCTTGCGCCTCGAAATTTTGAGATCTTTGTTACGACTGAGTCCTCCACCAAGTATGTTACACTATTAAATGTCGGGGGAAACTAGCTATCGAGCACGTCACGCTCGGCACCAAGACTCTCAAACTGTCTTTTTCTGCTTTCTTTACTGGTTCTCCAGTACACAAGTTCACTTACATCCACGCTTATTTCATGCTGTGTAACTCTGGTTAATCTCTTAGGCTCTCACTTTGATTCTAACTGAATAATTCTTCTTCACCTGCGGAATTCTGACTGTACTCTTCTGCACACTGTCTATATTCTTCTCAAACTCATTAACAATTCATGCTGAGAAAACAAAGGAAATTACAACCGTGAAGGAGGTTTGGATATGTGATCTTAATTATCATAAAATCTGGTGAACTTTTGCTTTGATTTTCTCCAAGAATTATTAATGGTTTGAGAAGCTATATCAAGCATTCGAAAGGGTGTTTCATCCGATATCCAAACACCTTGAAGTTGGTTAAAAAAAACTCGGCTGCACCTCGTTTTCTCAACCACTTCTCGGTGTTTGGATATCGGATGAAACACTCTTCCCTCTCTTCCCTCTCTTCCCTCTCTTCCCTCTCTTCCCTCTCTTCCCTCTCTTCCCTCTCTTCCCTCTTCCCTCTTCCCTCTCCCCTCTCCCCCTCTCCCCTCTCCCCCTCTCCCCTCTCCCCTCCCCCCCTCTCCCTCTCCTCCCCCTCTCCCCTCTCCCCTCTCTCCCCTCTCTTCCCTCTCTTCCCTCTCTTCCCTCTTCCCTCTTCCCTCTTCCCTCTTCCCTCTTCCCTCTTCCCTCTTCCCTCTTCCCTCTTCCCTCTTCCCTCTCCCTCTTCCCTCCTCCCTCCTCCCTCCTCCTCCTCCTCCTCCTCCTCCTCCTCTCTCCTCTCTCCTCTCTCTCTCTCCTCTCTCCTCTCTCTCTCTCTCTCTCTCTCTCCTCTCTCTCTCTCTCTCTCTCTCTCTCCTCTCTCCTCTCTCTCTCTCTCCTCTCTCCCCTCTCCCCTCTCCCTCCCTCCCCCTCCCCCCTCCCCTCTCCCTCCCCCTCCCCTCTCCCTCCCCCCCCCCTCTCCCCCTCCCCCTCCCTCCCTCCCCCTCTCTCCCTCCCCTCTCCCCTCCCCTCCCCCTCCCCTCCCCTCTCCCCTCTCCCCTCTCCTCTCCCCTCTCCCCTCCCCTCTCCCCTCTCCCCCTCTCCCCCTCCCCTCTCCCCTCTCCCCTCCCCCCCCCCTCCCCTCTCCCCTCTCCCCCCTCCCCTCTCCCCCCTCCATACTGAACTGGCTAACTAACTGACGAACTAAATATAAACTAACCAAATGCTTCATAACATCTTTCCTGCAATAATAACTCGTGACCAGTACAGTGTTTTAGACAGCGCTAATTGAAACTCAAAGCAAAAATAAGTAACAGCGTATTAAAGCAAGTTTTATGATTGATTTACTTTGGAGATTGAGTAAAATATTGTGGTTTGCTAGAAGCGAGCAGATCCTCCTTGTTTGCTGAGGTGTAGGAAAATAGTTGGTGTCCGATGTACTGATCAATCACTGACCATACATGTATTTTGCAATAGCTGAGTTCCATAATTATTTGATTGTTTGATTGCCGAGTTCATGTCGCCAACTTATATACGGCGGTCACTCTGTCAGTTTGTGAGGAAGTGATCCGTCACTGCCAATAAATGAGCGTGAAAATAATTACGCATAAGCAGAACATCATTTGGAGCAAAACACATTTAGACTGCTTAACGTCTAAGGAAACCATTTCTTGTAGGAAATTATTTGAAGGTCACGTGGTCGACGTTCAGCCAATGAAAAGGATGGACAAAGAGAATTATCATAATCATCGCTTCTACTGCAAATAAAATCCAAATATTTATGATGACAATAATAATATTAACAGTAATATGGTTATGATATTAATGAAAATGATGATACTAATTAAAGCAATGATGCAGATGATGATGAAGAGGCTAAAGCTTTACACATTAGAAGTTGAGAAACTGAATGAGAGGAAGACTGAGATGAGCAAAATTCGATTTAATAAATCTCTAAAAATCTCTAAAAGTCGTTTCCATGAGGCGTAATAAATCAATGGTCGGCGAATTATGAAACTCACATATATTTGTTACCATGAGGTGTAATAAATCGATAGCTGGCGAATTTTTGACTCCCGCAAATCGTTGTTACCACCTGGATAGCAGTTGTTGTAAACTGGTAATCTTGACGCCGCTGGATGCAGTAACTTAATCTAATTATTCAATCTGTTGCTTGGTTTTGTCATTTGCAGAGAAGCAAAAATTTACCCTCGTTAGCTGAAGCATTAGTTTTCGGCATGGGCCATAAGCCGTATTTAGAATACTTCTGAAGAAGAGAAATGAAAAAAAGCATGATCGAGCCGGTTTTCCCAATAATCACGTGAGTGGCTTTTTTCCTAATTTTTATCCTCGTGCTCAAAAATATTATGAAATTTTTGTTGGCAAATATTTCAATAACCCTCGTTGAATAATTGTCAAGTGTCAGACGGTGACTCAGACAGAGAACTGAGACGCGGAGAGAGATATACTAACTTGGACAAGTCACGTGGGAAAAAAGGAAAAATTGACAAAAATTAATATTTACCGATCTCAGTGGACGGCTTATTTTTCGGGCGGAATAACTGAACCTTAACAAAGGCTTTCCTTCATCACGCGCTCTAGTTAATTAGCCCACAGTTGTTGCGACGCTCTGAAAATTAATTCTGAGAGTATAGTAAGAGCTTTTAGTAGTTTTATGAACTTGTATATTATCGAAATTGCAAAGTTTTAATTTGTTCAAAGAGCATACATCCAATTAGATGTTTAGGTCAATAACTTTTACTTTTAGTCCAGGCAGATTGTCAAATATCACAATTAAATGAATTTTGTTGTGGCGGAAGCGAAATCCATCTGCTAAAGAAATAAGTCTGTACCGAGCATTTAACTTAAATTCCTTGTCTATGAGGTAATATTCAGTTTTTCTAGGTAAATGATTGCACATGATGTCGTTATATCGAATAGAAGGACGGTTTTTATGCCAACTGAAAGTGTTTTGACAGCATGTTTTTAACTCATACAAAATCAGGTTTTAAAATCTTTGCAAAATTCAACCTTGAAAGCGATGATTTCAACTTGAAAAGGTGAACAGGTGTTTCCATATGCAGATAAACTTTTTAGATTTAAGAACTCTTCCACTGTCTTTCAGGCAATCATTGTTTTTCAAAAAAAGGCAACCTAGTGTTAAATATTCATAAGGCCGTTAAGTCGTCTTAAGCTGCAGTTCACCAATCATTATTAAATTTGATGTGTCAAAATACAAATTAACTTCCCACCGCCAACAGCAGTATACGCCAATAATTATTTTAAAATATTAAACCAAGTCGTCCATTGCACCGAAGCATGGTTTTAACCTCAAATATTAAACATTTCTGACTCAGACAACACAGTTTGCCGCATTTGGAAGACACCAAAATGATGGGACCCGTATAATTTTCATAACATGTTATGGTTAGTATGTTAACAGCCCTAACGACTTTCGTTTCATTAAATTTGCGGAAACTCATCATTTGAGAGGTGAGTTATAATTTCTTTCTTACTGAGGTTTGCCGTTGTTGCCAATATATACTCCTTTCCAAGCTAAAGATGGCGGAAAGTTCATCCTGACACGCACCTTGTCGCACCTGTGTCAGATACAGCAGTGTTTAGTAGAAAAGTAACAACGAGTTAACAAAATACACAAGTTGGCGTCACTTTATTCAAAAGAAACGAGTCAGCAGTGTACGACCAAGGTTATGTACATTCCGTTGTGTGTGAGGTGAACAAACTGATAAATGGGAATTCATATCGTTTAAACCGGCTACGTTTCCGTATAGCTTGCGAGGGGTCTTTCTGTAATGCACGATCGCTGAATCGTTTAGGCATTTCACCCAGTAATTGGTATCGCTTTCATCGCAGGAAACAACATTATGCAAAAAATGATCTATTTTGCAGGTGTAATAATCAGAGGTGGGAAATGAACGAGTCTGTTTACCCCAGCAACCAATCACATGCAGCCGTGCAGCCCAGTTATGGAAATATTTTGGCTGCTATTTTGGGAAGTCTTCTGATAATCTCCACGTTAATTGGGAATTCTCTCGTGTGCATAAACTTTTACTTGTTTAAGGAACTCAGAACTGTGTGCCATTATTTCGTCATAAGTCTTAGTGCAGCGGACATCTTGGTTGCTTTGGTAGCTATGCCTTTCTGGTGTGCTTTGCAGGTCACTTCAAATCAATGGTTGTTTAGTCAGGAGTTGAGAATTTTTTGGAACTGTATGGATATTTTGTGCGGAAGCGCTTCAATTATGAACCTTGCTGCTGTTTCAATCGACCGACATGCAGCTATTACAGATCCCTTTTCCTACCAAAATGTTATGACTTCCGTGCGAGCAATCGGCATGATTGTTTTTGTTTGGCTATACTCCTTACTAGTCTCAGGACTGCGGTTAGCGAGTTGGCCCACGAAGTCAAGCTATATGCTTTTCATCGCCCTTTCTAGCTTCTTCTTGCCCTTGTTTATAATGATCGTCATGTATGTAAAGATTTACTTTGTTGCGAGAAAACAAGCGCACCTTTTAAGAAGAGGCAGGAGCTATGCGAAGGATGTGAAAGCTGCCAAGACAATCGCTCTTTTGATTGGTTTGTTTGTCATTTGTTGGGGACCATTTTTCGCCATCATTCTTTGCTTTGCTTACGATCAGTCATGTCCAGTACCAAGCTCACTGTTTAACGTTATCAAGTGGATGGAGTACACAAGCTCATTTCTGAATCCAATTATCTACACTTTCCTTGATCGCAGTTATAGAAGAGCCTTTCGTAAACTTTGCAAGCTTGTACGCAAAAGTCGTCACCAATCCAATTCGTCTACTACTGCAGGATCTCAGCTAAGAGACGGAGGCTCGTTTACAGGCAGCCATCAAGCCTCGGACAGTGTTGTGGATCCAAGACGCAAGCGAACTGGTTCAATTATTGGTGCCTGTTTGGGACCCAGCAAAGATTCAACAGTCTAGTCAAAATTAATCAATCTGAAAGAGGAGAAGTTATGTGTACAACATCATTTTCTTGTGTAATAAACCGATGGCCGGCTCTAAGATACAAAAATACCTACCATGAGAACTCTGATACTACCCGCTTATACTCTATTTTTACTTTTGGAGTAAATTTTTGCTTTTGGTGAAAAGAATTTTCCTTGAGAAAAGTAGACGGGTTGTTTTCTAGCTCTACTCTTACTCTTCATACCGTTAAAATGCGATTCATTTACAATTTTAGCTTTCTAATCATTCTTCTCTATCCCAGGTCACCAGAATGGTGAAATATTACCATGTAGCATAACAACGAAAAACTGTCCGTCAAGGATAAAAATATCTGACTGACGTTACCTCTTTCCAATAACGGAAAGTCAAAGTTCTTTAGAAGATGTTAATAAACATTTGATATTACGTAAATTCAGTATGAAACCCATTTAAGTTTTCTTTTTTTGTTTTTTTCACAGGTAAAATTATTTGGCTGTAGAACAAAGTTTAAGATTGGAGAAAATTCTGTAGATAGAGAGTTTGGCACAGCCCTGCATTCTTCAGTGCAAATGTTTAATCATCAGCATCACTTCTTGCACTGAAAACCAAATCTACAAATACTCTTGTCAGAGCATGGAATATACGTCTTTGTCTTAGTGGTAGCGAAAGGTTCCCCTTCAGTGGTCATGCAGTTTCCACGCTAAATGATTCAAGCTGTCTAGACAATCCTGTAGCCGAGTTAGAAACTAACCAAGCCCTTCGATACTCTGGGGATTAACTTTCTCGTTGAAAAATACATCGAAACAAAATCAAATGGAAAACACCATAAATTACCTTGCAAAGGTACTGGTTATAGAGTCACGTGCATCAAAAGGACCCCTGTTTACAATCATTATGAAATCAACGACGAAAACTACACTATTACAATTGGCTATGATAAAAGTAGTTGGCAGAGAAAACTATATAAAAATCTAAACATAGACTAATTGTACCAACAAAATGCCATGCTGAATAAGAATGTCTTAAGTTTCCGTTCAAAATCATTTTTGGTGCAAGCAGATCTAATGCTTACGGGAAGACTATTCCAAAGCCGCAGCGCTGCCGCCATGAAGGATCCATCCCCCATGATAACGTTTGTGAAACGCTTTCGGGTGCTCAGAAGAATTCCCTCGTTATTTCGCCGTAAATCATAACGGTATGGCGATAAAACAGAAATTACATTGCTGAGATATTTAGAAGCTGAGCCTTGGAGTACTTAAAAGGCGATCAAAAGGATTTTAAACTCGATACGTAAGCGGATAGGCAACCAGTGAAGTTGTTGAAGGAGCAGCGTAATATGACAGTGTATAGGTGCGCAGAAGATCAATCGCGCACAGGCATTCATGACACGTTAATATTGGAGTTTTTGCATGTGATGGGCGGGACCTCCATAGAGGAGACTGTTGCAGTAGTGTAACCTACTGGTTATAAATGCATGAATTAGTTTCTCAGTACATTCACTAGTAAGGTATTTCCTTATGTGTCGGATATTATACAGATAAAAGAATGCACTACCACAGGTCTTTGTTATATGCGTTGCCATATCCATGTGCAAGTCGAACCAAGAGTCCAGATTTTTTGCCGAGTATACGGGAATTACATCTACGTCCTCGACCCGACCCTAATACTACTAACAGACACTTTAGATAGCTGATTGCTCGTGCCGATCACCATAAACTCAGTCTCATCATCGTTCAGCATCAACTTATCATTAATCATCCATGAACGAACAGCAGCGATATGTTTCTCCATTGCATTAACGCCTCAGTTTCACCCGTACTCTCTAATGGGCGAAATGACAAGTATAATTGAGTATCATCTGCATACGAGTGTGCATACGGCAGGTGAGATTTAATAATACTGAAAAGTTTCCTAGCATAGATAGTAAAAAGGATGAACCCTGAGGCACCCCACATTCTAGGCCGAACTTTTTGGAAAGAGCACCCTTAATTGTAACTTGTTCTCAGATGGGATCGAAACCATTGAAGAGCTGACCCACATAGCAGTGACTGAAGTCTATAAATAAGAATGTCATGGTCCACAGTATCAAAGGCGGCGCTGACGTCCAAAAGAACCTGGAGTGTCACATGACCCATATCCATATTCATAAGAATATCATTCCTGACTTTCAGTAACACCATCTAAGTGGAGTGATGCCCATGATAGGCACTCTGCTTTTCCGGGAACAAGCCATTGGTCAGCATGTGGGTCTGTAGCTGGATAGCAAGTGCTCTCTCTGTAAGCCTAGAAGTAAACTGTTAGTTTCTTATTAGGTGGAAGTTCTTGTTTACCAGTTCGAGTCCAGGTTTCTAAAGCAATGAATGCACCTAGGCATTTTTCCACTCATCGGCGAACCGACCAGTCTTTAGTGATGAATTAAACATTATTGTGATGACAGGGAGTAGACGGTCCAGATGTATAGACAGTATAGAAGGTGGAAGTGGATCAAGGTCACACGATTTCTTACAGGCTAGTGCTAATTTCTTGACTTCCGCCTCAGTGAGTAGCGCGAGTTCAGAGAAAGAAAGGTCAGTAATTTTCAAGGTGGTTGTATGATCAGATTCTTGGGATGCACTGGGAGGGGACTGAGTAATGGCCGCAAACTCGGATTATTGCAGTGATCTTATGAACAAAGTGGTCCTCCTTATCGCTGACGAGCCTAACAGTATTCCTGTGAGGCGGGAGAGTTTTATCAGGCTGAATATTCAATAGACGCTCGCTCTCCCGAAAACGTATTGACTAATTTGAGCTGTTTTCTTCAGTAAATCGACTATAATATGTTCTTCTCGCATTGTTCATAACATATATTATGTAATTTCTCTTGGATTTGAACGTTAGAAGGTCCAAGGCTAGTCCAGCTCTCCTCCACAGTTTTTCAGCTTTCCGTCTGTCACGCCTTGCCTGCATAATTTCATCATCAAACCGAGGTGGCCTGAGCCTATTTCTTATTTTCCGTGACTGAGTCGGGGCATGCTTATTTAATAGTGATGACAGCGTCGTGTTGTAGCAATTAAATAGTTTTTCCCAGTCGTCAGGGGGATCTAAATACAAAATAGAATTGCGAGTGTCCGCAGCAAATATTGCCAAGACCCCGTTTAATTACACGATCACAGCTCAGAAGCTTCTGGCAAAATACGATGACTATCGATTTCATAGATTGATTCTTCAGGTTCCAGCATTAGGAAAAGAATATCGTATCACAAGCATGTTCATCGTAACCCGAGAAGTAAGTACACCTCGAGATGTTGAGAGAAGAGAGAGTGGCTCCATGTTTTGTGAGGCAATTGAAATTATTTCCTGAAGAATCGAGTAGAAAGCATGAAAACATAACGCTGAGAAGTACCATGACTAAACAATGAAGTTCACTCATTCAGCAGTAGGACTAATTCCATTTTACCCGTGAGTTTGTTCGCACCACACATTTCCGGTCCGTAATTTATTTCTCAGATGTTTGACGGGTTCTCACATGACTGAAGAAATGTAAAATGGTTTCCGTGTTTACATAGCCTGATGTAAACACGCGGGAGGTTGGGAGAACACGAGATAAGCGTAGGAAACCACGACGCGAGGCGGAGTGGTTTACATCAGGCTATGTAAACACGGAAACCATTTTACATTTCTTTTATAAAATAACTAATGAAAGAGGAACGAAAACCGTGTTGACATACGCTCATGTAACATGGTTTTATGGCCAATCAGAGCGCGCGTACTATTTGAATTATTTTATAAAATATTGTCAAAATCAACTTACCGCGTCAGACTTAATGTAAACATGGACATCGCTGACTCAATCTCATCTTATTTCAAGATTGGGAAAGGCTGCCAGTTCGTTCTTAGGCTAAAACAACACTTCTTCAACATAGCGCGATTTTATTCAACGAACAGAGTAAATCCTGCGATAGTTGACTGAAGAGAGAAAGAGGTCGAAACTTGCACTCGCCGTTCGCTATCATTTGAAAGCTTTCTCGGCAAAACAAAATCCGTAAGATAACTTCTTGTCCATTAACACCACAACTGTATAAAGCATTCTAAACGACAGGAAAAGAAATACCTTGAAGAATACGAACACTTTGAAATGTTATTCGAGCGATGAACCGGCGCGAGGGTTTTTAGGCGATGAAGGCCAAAGTCATTGTTTTACCGAAACGTGATTTGAATTATAAACTGAAGCTACTATCAAACGACGATTGTTAAAAAAGGTTTGAATTTGTCTGGGTCTTAGCATGTGGGAAAACCCAGATAAAACACGACTTACCTCCTCGTCTTTCTCGGCTCCTTCAGTAGTTCGCTTCTCTTTGCTGATGACCTCTTCTCAGTCTGGTTTCAGGAGCGTCTTTATACTTCCTTCCCGCGTTGCTCTTCGCTACATACTTATCTTTTTACTGATATCTTTTATTGTTCTCTTTAGCGTTCCTTTCACCGTATGCTGCATATTTTGGTGTCCTCTCTAACTTTCTTGCGCGTTTTTCTCAATTCGCTCAATGTATTTAACTTCTTGTTTTTTTGATCGCTCAGTCTCTTTCTTTTCATCCTATTTTCACTCAAAACCCTCTCTCCACAAACTTGAATCATAACAATTTCCTCCCGTTGACAAAGTGTTAGCTCTGCCGGTATTGTTGATTAGAGATTGTAAAATAATGAGAATTACCCTTCAACTTCAACCTCACCAGTTCGATTTCGCGCAACGCTGGTTGCAACTGAAACTATTTGCTTACGCGGCTTCACATCTACTAGCCCATGTGAAGCCCTTGTGCAATGCCGTATGCCCGCGGTACACTACACTGAAGCTCGATACTCGAGTATGCGCACTTCATTGCGATCTGCCGGTGTTTCCACACACTAATGGGGTATCCAAGTTACGCGCGCAATCGCGCCTGCACATTACCTTCTCCCCCCGCCCCTCCATTACGTAATGGCTAAGATAGTGCCCGTGGTACAGTTGGCCACGCATGCTAAAAGTAGCACCTTCTACGGTTGGTCGTACGGTCGCGCGACCAAATTTTTTCGGCTTGATGGGTTACTACTATTTTGTACAATTATGCTACGCTTCGCGAGCTGCGAGCTCCGCTATGAGTAGGTTGCTTCACATGTTGGACAAGACCCATCGCTTCTAAAAGATCTCTGTAATGTATGTTATTACGATCGGTAGGTACATCCATATGGATATTAAAATTACCAGTTATCAATAACTTATCGCTGGACATGACGACAGATTCGAGGTATTCAGCAAACTCATGAAAAAAAAAACGCCAATAGTTATTGGATGATCTTCTGAATACGGCGGTCTGTACGAAATAACAGTGCGCAAACGAGTAGGACCAAGACTGACCAGCCATTCGGAAACCTCAAACGACGCTTTCTAATCAGAATAAACATTACTGACATTGATCCCTTCTTTGACTAACTATGCCGTGCCACCGCCCTTGCGGCCAGGTCGCTGACAATGTGCAAGTGTTCTATATCCGGGCGGAGTGAGCTCGCTCAAAACAGCAGAATGTTTATCTTTAGGCCAGGTCTCACATATGGTAAACAAATCCGCCCTTACATCACACACTGGGTCCACAAAAACAGCTGATTTATTATTCAGCGACCTCGTACTTAGAGTATACAAGGTCAACTGTTGATCATTCGGATACAAACAAACACGATCCAGTGTTATTAGGTTTCAGTGTTTCGCGTCGATCTGGAGCGTTGGGTATTTTGTTTGAGGCGTAATGGAGTGTGAATAGGTCTTAAGTTGAGCTTAACATCATCACAACATCAGCGGACGGAATGAAACGGTGTTGAAATAGTGTATGCACGGGTGCCTCTGTCTCTTAGCACCAGAGCGTCTCAGGAATGTAGGTCGAGGTGTGCCTCTGAGTAGATCAATACTGATTACTCTTTTACAGTGACCCGCGCTCCATGACTCGATGAACAATGCACTTGGTTCAGCTAATGTGGCCCTATTGTTCACGATGCCAATTTTACACTTTTGCCATCTAAGACTACAAGTCGAAGGAGATCCAAATATCGATAATTCCGGCACCAATGCTTTCCTAGTGAGCTCAAAACTCAAGGTGAAGATTCCACATTTTATCTTCGCGTTTTATCTTCTTTCTGTTTTCCGAAGAGGGGTAGCAGAGAGGAGAAAAGGGACTCAGAACACGGGGGTGGACATGCCGTGCCGCATGCTTTCTAATCTGGAATATCTAAACTACCAATTTTAGTCTGTGTTTCACTGAGATCGAAGCCTTTTACGTTTAAGAGTACTTGTTTCCACTTTCTAAAGGAGAACGTTTTCGTACCACCATTTTCTTCCATAAAATTCAAATCCAAAGCAGGATGCCTTGATGCAAGGTAGTTCTTTCATTGATACTTGAGCATCGCATCTTAGCAATGCAAAGGCCCTAAGGAAACCATAGGTTCGTCACAAAGCTACGGTTCGGGCATACTTTAAACTGGAAGACTCGGTGCTGCTGGACCGTACGATCACTGATTAGCTGCCTTTTTTCTGACGAGGTGTAAATAGTCGTCGGGAAGTAAGCCGCCGTCATCATGATTTATAGGAGCGTAGGCGGAGTTAATATGCTAAGCTTCCAAACAAAGACCTATCCCATCCAATTTCATGGTTAGTTAGGCATGTGTGCTCCGATAAAGCTGAATTTTCTTCTTTGCAATAGAAAACCGCTTTTTGATGCTCTTTCAAACGTGTACCAAACTGACCTTTGGTCTGTCCGAGGTATTCCTGAGGCGGATCCAGGAGAGGGGTTGAGGGGGTTGCAACCTCCCCTTTGAGGAGCATTTGTCTCTTGTTATTGTTTTATTCTTCCTAAATTAATCATAAATAAAATTTTTTTACAAAGTTTTTCCTCTTCCACCATTGGACTACTTGTCAAGTTATGAAAAGGTAATGTACATCTCGCGAAAGGTGTATGCGTCAAAATTAAGGAAAGGCTGACAGCAGAGCTAAGGACTAAGGACCTTCCTTTCACGATTATGGCTGATGAGAGTACTGATCCACACTCAAACCAGGAGATCTCATCTTTATGCTTGAGGTTTGTGGACCAGTCTTCGCCAAACGATCCTCATGTCAAAGAATGCCTGATTAATATCATGCATTTGGAACGAACAAATGCCACCATGATTTCAAGAAAGATTTTGGAATCTCTCTCTGATCCATCTGTTTCTTTGGATCCTAGCAACATCTGGGGTCAGGCATATGATGGAACTTCCGTTATGTCAAGTGGAAAGGAAGGGGTGCAGGCCAAGATAAAAGAGATCAGTCCGTCAGCTCTTTTCACACATTGCTCACTACCCGAACCTCTCCATCACAGCATCATGCAAACTGTCAGAAGTGCGAAATTTGCAAGGCATATCAATTTTTAAATAACAGCCCAAAGCGACAGCAGCTGTTTGAGTTCACTCTGAAAGAATACCTGCCTGAGAATTCCCACAGTAAGCCTCCAGGTCTATGCAAGACACGCTGGGTGGAAAGACACATGTGCCTAGGTCTTTTCCTGGAAATGTATGAGCTCCTAATCACCTTTCTAGATGCTATTATTTCCCCCCACGAGTACCCAAACTTGAAATCGTCTACTGAATCTGGAACTGGGACAAAGATACTATCACAAAAGCCCAAGGACTGAAGGCCTCTTTGTTGTCATTCCAGACCGTAGTGGTTTTTTACTGTGACCAAGAATATTCTTGATGAACTCAAAACTCTTGCATCAAAGCTGCAGAGACGGGACCAAGATATTTTTGAAGCTTACATGATGGTTAACGAAGTAATTGGAAACATCAAGTCCGTTAGAAAAAACCTTGACAGCAACTCTCAAGTTTGGTACAAACAAATACTAGACCTAGACCTTGCTGAGAAATTGGGAATTGTTTAAGCTAGTCCCAGAAAGACAAGCATACAGAGGAATCGCTCAAATATTCCCAGTTGTAGCCCAATTGGTCATTACAAAAAATCTGTGGCTATACCCCTTCTTAATTCTTTGATTATTCAAATGGAAGACCGATTTTCTGACGAAGATCGCCACGCCCGTCACTTCCTTTACCTAGTACCCTCTATCATAGTTAATAACACCTTGGAGCTATCTAAAGCAACAGAACGCATGTTGTTCTAGGAGAATGACCTTCCATTTCCTAAATCCCTTGGGAATGAGCTGCGAAGATGGCAAATTATGTGGAAGTCAGCAAAGAAGGAACTTCCAAGCAATCTTCTACTAGCACTTGTCGCGTGTGATGAGGATGCTTTTCCAAACATCCGTCGTCTTCTTCTCATTGCATGCGCCCTACCAATCAGTAGTGTGGAAGCTGAGCGGTCCTTTTCGCTCATGAAACGGATCAAGACGTGCACCAGATCAACGATGTGTGAAGGGGACAAAATTCTCGTAAGATAACCAGAAATTGCATAAGTCGGAGAATATACAATAGAGACAATGGGTCTCAAAGGAATTCCCGGTTTATGAATTTTAGGTAAGCCATAAAAACGTGAACATAAGCTGTCACTACTGTAACATGAGGAAATGAGCTTTAAATGAAATAGAAAATTATCGTAGCGTTGCTTACGAAATCGCCGAGGAGGAAGATTAAGTACATATAAGATAAACCGTGGGTACAAGTAGACACTGGCAAATGAAACAAATTGATGAATCTTTTCTCGCCTCAATTGGTGATTGTGGTTTTGGGTCGAGAGACATATAAATTCGCACCCTCTGCATCATTTGGTAGCCTCCAAGGTCTATGGACTCCACCGTCCTGGGTCTTTGCAGCTTTAGGCCCTGGTATCCCCTGGTCCTTTCGTTCTTGAAAGCATTAAAAATCTGCAAATCGTTATCCAGCACATGAAATTCCATCTCTTTTTTTGAATTGTTATCGGAAGAGATGTGCAACTTACATAAAAACTTAGATAGACAAAACTAATATCATAGGCAAATATTGAGACAAAACTGCGTCATAAAAGTTTCACAGATTGCGAATGGACTCATTGCACCTCCACGTACGTGAAACAAAGTGGGAATCTGGTAAAACTTTGCTTAAGAAAAACTCGAGCAACCAAAAAGAGCTGACTTTAAGGATAACCAGCGTGTTATGAAACGTATCTTATAAAACTAAAGGGACACTTAGCGGCTTGTCTTTTCTGTCATATTATCTGCCGGACATTTGCAAACTTTGACATAATGCACGATAAGTGAAACGACGATAACGCAAAGTGACCACCGATCTTGCAATCTGAAGTGGCTTTTATATCAGGTGCTACTGCATACACAGTAGACGTAAATGCCCTCGCAGAATATTTCTCACGGAAAAAGACCAAACTTTTCCTATGAGAAAACTAGCCTTATCATGAGAACTACTAGTGTATCACAGACAGAAGATGCAAACACACTGAACAACTTCCTCGATTAATTATAGCATCTCTCCACAGAAGCTGTGAGATACTATTAATATATAATATACTATTATCTAATTTCAGAGCTTCTGGTAGTCAAAGAAGTGCTTTGATTTAAAGGTTTCCTTGAGTAATGACACTTGTGGCAGCCCAAATCGAATCTTCCCACGGTCGCGGATCAAAATTTGCCTTGTTTACTCCTTTACGGAAATAGGGAGTAACATTTCAATGATGTATGCCGTTTGTATTATGAACTCCAGTAAAGACATTTTGAGTAAACAAAGGCGAGAATTCTTTTTCTTTTCTCTAGTAGTTTTTCTTTTCATTGCAAAGTTTTGAGCTGTATCATCGACAATTGATGTAAACACAAGAACGTCCGCGATGATAGAAAACATTTCTGCACAGAAGCCCTACAATTCTATAAATGTTTAAAAAAACTATCCAAGATAAGACCCACGCGAAAGCTTGTCTGTCGAAGAGGTGGGTTAATTTTGATAATTTCTTTGCGTAGCAACACTTGTGGCAGCTCAGCTTAAACGTTTCCACGGTAGGTCGTTTATCTCCTACATACCCTGAGTCTTATCGCTCACAAGATCTTGGTCACTGGAGGTCTTGCGGGTCCGCTCAACGTTTTCTGGAGCAAACCAATGTAGTTTACGGGCTATATGTTGTTGTTTTTTTGCCCTATTTTTTTTTTTTTTTAAAGATTTTTGATAATTTTTTATTTTTTATTTTTTTCTTTGCTCATTCTTTTTTGGTTTTTGATTTTTGGTCACCCCATTTTTTTTCTTTTATTGTCTTTTTCTGCTTGACTGATTTTTTTACAAAGTACACGGAAAAGGAATTTTTCTGGATTTCGTTGGATTTGGCAAGCGACACTTTTTTATCTGTGTATTTGTTTGTTTTTTCTCAATTAAAAAAGATGTCTATAACCCATGACAAATGACCTATTATTTCCATTTTAATTTAACACAATCGTCAACATCTTCTTAAATGAACGAAAGTTTCGATAAAGATTGCTTAAGTTTTAATCTCGGCCTTCACACCAAATCTCATTACTGTTAAGCTTTCGGGCATATTCTTCAGAAGAGGGCTAAGTATCGTTCCTTTTTTTCTGTTTCCATTTTAGTGGAAAGCCTTACATAAAGCAGGGGAAAACGATTCTTCGAACATAGTAAGACGAAGAAGGCCTCTAACTTGAGTTCATTGATGACTTTATCGGATTATGAGATTTATACCCGGTACTGGTGTTCTTAAAAAATTTCATGCTATTTGAAGTGGTGTTTCTTGTGAGAGTCAAATTTCGCGATGTTTAGCAGAGAAAATATGACAAACGGTTACCTATCGCGTGAAAAAGCCTGAAAAAAATTAAGGTGGTCCTTTCACTAGTTTGAAGTTTGTAATAACGTATCCAGTGAAGATATCTTGCCTTTCAGCAAAAACATGCAAGTCACAAGCATTTGTTGCTTTGAACTGTTACGAGAAATCGCTTGGTTATTTTTATCGTATCCTATTTGGTAGATTTTACGTATAGATTAACATTCTCAGACTATTATTATTATAATTTTTGTTTTCCTCCAGAATCCCAGTACTAAACAATTTCAAACTCTCTCTCTCCCTGAGCTTTAGTTAGCCCCGTGAGATAGCCAAAAGAAAGAGCCCAATGTACAGACAACTGAAGATCGAGAAAAAAAGGACCAAAATGTAGATGAAAAGGAAAAGAAGCTATTTCTGTGTTCCGAGGAGAATTGTACTCGTGGATTCCAAAGGCACTCCTGACCAGGAAAGTAAATTGTGTTTGGAAAATGTATTCAGGCAATTGATAGGGATACACTGCTGGATAGGGCGAAGTTAAAATACGCTGCAAGACTCTGTCAAGGTGAAGCTTCTGCCAACATCACCATCGACTAATTCCGCTGAGGGTGAGGTAATAGTACCTAAAGGAAGAGCTCTAAAAAAGGCGCAGAAAGCACATTGTTTCAACGAAGAGTGGCGGCGTTATCTTGAAGCTAAGTTTAAAACTGGTCAAGAGAGTAGTATAACAATTGATCAAGATGTTGTTCAGAAAAAATACAGAGAACAAGAGGATCCAATGAAGAGAGGCTATCCAGAGTATCCAGATTTCTGACAGCTCAACAAGTTACTTCTTTTTTCTTTCAGATGGCCGTCAAGGTAAAACAGCAACCTCTTCCGAGGCCGGATGCTCCAAGTGAGCAAGCCTGAGCCGAACATTATTACCATGCAGGATGAACATAACTGTTCTGGAGCTAAAGAAACAGTGACGGGCGCATTTAATGTGTACCATAAGCCACGACCAGTTCGAAACTTGATTGATAGTGAGGGGGAGCACACTTGGAAAACTAAACCTTGGTGTGCTGAAATTTCTGTGGGAGAACTTGAATATTACAAAGCTACTTGACTAGAGAAGAAGGGCTCGCTACATCTATACATCTGGAGCTTGTTCAAAGCTACTCTAGCAGTAAAGTGTAATCACGAGTTCCGACATCAACGAGGCATACAACTTTGCGGAAAACAAGTGATTTTCATTGATATTAGTCGACAATAAATCTTCTCTGGCAATCTTCTCGCAATTTTTCTAAATAAATAACTGTTACATCCGAATTTGGTAGCCTTTTTAATAGTATTTTATTGACAAGCCTCAAATGTTATATGTATTACTTATCTGTGCTCTTGTACAGTTTCACTCTGTTAAAAGTCAAAACACTTGACCCAACGTATGATACATTTTATCATCCTTGATCAAACAGTGGTGACCAATCATGAATAAATTAGTTGCTGGTCACTCTAGGACGATGCTTAAACCATTGAAAGGCTTGATTGACCGTGGCTTGTCAATCCTATGAATGAATGTGTGAAAATATGATAACTAAACGAAATTATTTTCATTTAAAGAACAGATTACAATATAAAAACTGGTACTTTTGACCATTCTAGGTGTTTCTGGCAAATGCCAGCCTCCAAATTTCACCTCTGAAACCAGATAGTACCTTGAAAAAAAAATTGCTTTATGCAAATTATTCTAACGTAGCGAACGCCAATATTTTTTCTTTTCAGCACAAGTCTGAATTACCCAGACTTTTAATTTCATATTTTGTGCATTTTTTAGCAGTTTACTCCTTTGAGCTACTTTTATTATTTTAACTACTTAAACCAATTCAGCTTTACGGTTTCAGCAAGTTGACCGTTTTAATCACCTAAAACAGTCCAGCTTTTGGTGAATTTTGTTCAATTTTTATTAATTTGTTAATTTAACCATTTTACCTAGTTCTTATAATATTTTAATTTTGTTCTTTTAAAAAGTTTATATATTTTTTTAGTTTTAACGTTTCCGCCAGTTTCACTATTAAAACCAGTGGACCAAATTCACTTAGTTTGCACATTTTGTGCAGTATACTCTTTCACATAGTTTGAACAATTTAAGTTGCTGACAATATTCAGAAATTTTGTGTGTTTTGTTCAGTTTAATCGTTTTAGCTGGTTGAAGCATTTAAACTGTTTTATCTAGTTTCAAATAATTCATTTAGGTTGTGCATTTGGTGCAATTTAACCGTTTTAGCTAATTTTGACAATTTTAATCAGTTGAAACCATGTAGCTAGACTGTGCAATTTGTACAGTCTAACCCTTTTACTTTATTGGACAATTTTAAGCAGTTGAAACGATGCAGTTGTTTACTAGACTTAGTGTAGTTTACTCATTTTAGCAATTTTGAACATTTCCACGAGGTGAACGATTTCAGTTAGTTTGCATTGCGTCAACCATTTTAGCCAGTTGGATCATTTTAAGCAGTTGACCCAGTTTTGCTGCTTAAAGCAGTTTTACTGTCTTAGCTAACTTGGCCATTTTAGGGAAAAGAGTAAATTTAGCCAGTTTTTGCACTGTTTGAAGTTTAACTATTTTAGCTCTTTTGACAATTTTAAGCAATTGAACCAATTAATTTAGTTTTGCATTTTGTGAAATTTAACTGTTTTCAAGTGGTTTGATCATTTCCATAATTTTCACAATACTTGTGGTATCTTGTTAAATTCTTCCGCTTTAGATAGTTTGACCATTTTAACTTGTTAAAACCAATTAGATTAGTGTGTGGGTTTTGTTGTTTCAACCGTTTTAGCTAGTTTTACCTGTGAAACCAGTTAAACCAATTATCTAGTTTGTACATTTTCGCAGTTTAACCGTTTCACAACGTCGCCCAGTTTAATAGTTTAATTAGTTGAACCAATTTAGCATTTATGCATTTAAAAAAGCTTTTTCTTTTCACCTTGCTACACCGTTTCAAGCAGTTGAACCAATTCGGCTAGCTTGTCCTTTTTTGTTACGTTTAGCCGTTTGAGATGGTTTCACCATTTTAGCAGTTGAAACAATTTATTTTGATGCTGGACTTAGTGCAGTTTATTAGTTTTAGCTAGTGTGATCATTCCTACCAGTTAATCATTTCTGCCAATTTGTGCATTGTATGCAATTCAACCGTTTTGGGTAGTTGGACCATTTTAAGCAGTGGATTATTTTGAGCAGTTATTCCGTTTAAGTTAATTTGGCCATTTTGAGAAAATGAACCAACTTAGCTAGCTTGTGCATTGTGTGCAATTTACAACGATGCTAAATGGCTTCTAAATCTTTGGCAAAGCGTTTGGAAAAGGTACTTCCTGAAGAAATTAATTTGAATCAAAACGCGTTTGTAAAGGGGAGAATAATTTTTGATGCCGTTAGAACGATCGATGATGTGATTGAATATGCTAGATACAAAGATATACCTGGGATCCTAGTAGTTATAGACTTTGAAAAACCTTTCGACTCGCTCAATTTAAACTTTCTTTTAAGAGTACGACATGCATTTAACTTTGGTCCTTCTTTTATTTAGTGGATATGGGTCTTATATCACAACGCCTCTTCCTGTGTAATGAACAACGGTTTTACAACAGGACCTTTTGTACTAAGTAAAGGGAGTAAGGCAGGGAGATCCCCTCTCTCCCTACCTGTTTATACCAGCTTTGGAGACCTGAGCTATAAAGATAAGAGAAGATGATGGCAGGGCATAACGATACGAGATGAACCTGTTAAACTTTTCCTTTTCGCTGATGATATGACCTGCTGACATACATTGATATACAAACCTTTTCTTTACGCTGAAGACTATTGATAAATGTTCTGGTTTAAAAATAAATAATAAAAAAACCGATGTCTTTGGGAGGGGCCGCATTCCGATTTGCCAAATCTTTGTAACAGTATTAAAATTGTCGGCGTTTACTTTGGCTATGACGCTTAGTATATGTAATCACATGAGGCCAAGTACTATTAAGGATTAGTTGCACGAGAGTTTTCAAAATTTTCCAAAATTGCCCGAGTCGCGAAGCTGTGTCGTGATACACTGCCAAAAGTCTAGAAAACAAAGCTCATTTCAACAGAGCGTTTCTGCCAACAGAAAAACAACAAAGTGCTTTTAACTGAACAAGGTAATCATGCCCTCTCTTGATTACTAAAAATGCCCTCGATTAAGAAAAAATGCCCTCTCTCTCAACCAATCAGCGCTCAGTAATTTTGCCCTTTATTGATAAACAAATAGATAAATTGAATTTTAGGAATACTTTGAAATCACTTAAGAAGACGATCAATCTGTGGAAATGGCGTGGTCTTTCTCTCTCAGGTAGAATACAAGTTATAAAAACCTTTCCCATCCCCAAGCTTATGTACAGAGCGTCGGTGTTGCCAATTTCTAAGGACCCTCTCTTTTTTGTTATTTTGTCTGGAAAGGGAAAGATGAGATCGAAAGTTGAGAGGGGTAACTTAAATATGCTCGATATTGGTTCTATGGCTCGTACCAGACGAGTGTGATATCTATGAAAAAAAATTGTGTGCAGTTTCACTGTTTAAGCTTGTTTGACAATGTTAAGCAGTTGAACCAATTCAGTTAGTTGGTGCAGTTTTCGCAGTTTACCCGTTTTAGATTGTTTTAACCATTTTGATCAGTTGAACCAATTCGGTAGCTGATTTTCTTAATTTCAACTGTTTTAACGACTTTGAAAAATTTGACTAGATAAAGCATTCTGTTCAGATCGTGCATTTTGTTCACTTTAACCCTTTAAGTTAGACAATTTTGACAAGTTGAAGCAATTCAGGAAGATATTCCACTTTGTTCAGTTTGACAGTTTTAGCTAGTTTGACCATTGTGACAACTTCAACCAATAAAGCTGAATTGAGCTTCTTCTTCAGATTAACCGTTAGAGCTAGTTTTTGTATTTTGTTACGTCTTACGAATTTAGCTATTTGGACTATTTTAAGCAGTTCAACTAATTCAGCAGATTACCCGTTTTAGCTTCTTTGCCATTTCAAAGTTGAACCAGTTCAGCTTGTTCTTGCATTTTGTGCACTTTAGCCGTTTGCACTAGGTTATGCATTTTGTGAAGTTTACCGGTTTACCTAATTTGGACAATTTAACCAGTTTACAAAACTTAGTTTGTGCATTTTGTAAAATTAATTTGTCCTTTTTTATTTAGCCATTTTTATCATTGAACCAATTCACCTAGTTAGGGCATTGTGTGCAGTTTAACCGTTTCAGCTGGTAAGACCATTTTAACATTTTAATTTTTGTTCACTTTGAACATTTTACAGCGCTCAATTGTGTTTTCTTGAGAATAACCTTTATAGCTAGTTGGAGCATTTTAGGGAATGTGCATTTTGTTTAGTCTTACGATTTTAGCTAGGTGGACAAATGTGACAATTTGGACCAATTCAGCTAGGTTATACATTTTGTGGAGTTTACTTGTTTAGACTGGTTAGAACAATTTCATCAGCCGAGAATCGCTTTTGCTTATTTGGCCATTTTAACCAGCTAAAACAATTCATCTTGTTTAAGTTGTAGTAGGAACATGAGAGGTCTAACAGAGTCTAGAACAGGACTAGAGACATTTTTTGAGTCCGTCAGCCAAGCCAGTCAAAACTAGTTCTGAGACAGCGCTCAGTCAACTGCAGCAATGGTGGCTCAAGCTGTCTGTCTGTCACATAGTCCCACGCTATCTCAGAACTCTCATTTGGCTACACCTAGAACACTGCCACAGCCACCTTGTGTCATCTTGATTGCATTTGACATCTACACTAGATCTGTAACTCTCAAGGTATCTCATTTCTTTTCATCAAATTCCTTCTGGAGGCAGCTGAGTCCCAGGAAGAACTAGCTTTTGCTCTTCTCTGGATTCAAAGTCTCAGTTCTCACATAGAAGTATGGATTCTCAGTCTCAGCTGTTGTTGGAAGAACGACGAGATTAGAGTGATTGTGAGTGCATTGACAAGAGGCCTGGAGTCTGTTGTCAAAGGAGTTGGAAATGGTTTTTTAAGACTTTTGGAAGTAAGATCGTGGGAATTCTTCCAGGTTTCTCCGGTTCATTTTTAAGACTGCTGGCTCTGTGATCAGCTTCTTTGGTCAAAATGCATGGCTTCTTATAATGGAAGTCGCAATATTTATGGTTGAGCGCTTTTAAAAGAACAAGCGATGAATCAAGAACGCTTATACCATTCCAGCATAAATCAATCCTACCTTTACCATGTCATGATTCGTTTCATCTAACCATCCTGGTGTTTTCCTCTGAACTTAAGTTGAAGTCGCATTTATTTTATTTGAAGGATGCCGCTTGGAGGCCTTTCCCCTTGGGGCTTGCGGCTCAGGAGAGGTGCCTCTCTTTGGGGTCTGCTGCTCCGCAACCTGACCAAAGGCTTAGACTCCTCGGATCTCCGCTTGTCGAATTTTAATGAGCCTTCATTCATATGCCTTACTCCGACTGATTTCCTCTTCAAATTCAATTTGTTAACTCCGAGCTTCCTTGGAACTGTCATCCTCTTCAGGCTGTCATCATACCCAATCGTACCTTGAGTGTTAAGAAGATTTGATTGCATAAACCAAGTGCCTGGTTAGAGAGCAAGATCAAGCCACAGTTGTGCCTTATCAGTCGCAATCTCAAACCTCTCAACGCTCTACGAAATGTCTGGCTTTCTTCTTGAATCCTCAATCAATAAGAGTAACTCACGTTGAGCTTCCTTCGTCCTTCCTAATGAATTCAAGTTTGAGGGTCTGACGTTGACTTTCTATCAAGAATGCAATAACGATCGATGTGTCGGGTCTTGATGGTACAAAAGTCTATCCTCTCAGGATCAGTGAGAAGAATTTCAGAAAAGAGGAAGGAAAACTAATCATTGATAGATGAAGAAGGTAATCAATATTACTGCTTGTTCATTACTGCTTTTCAATAAACACTACTGCTTGTTCAAAAACATCAGCAGGTTACTCTCGAAACAAGTCACAGAGCACGATGGTTCACTCTTCTTCTGTCAAAGATTTTTGAGTCACTTTCGAAATTAAGAAAAATTCGCAATTCACCACCTATATTGCTCAAATAATGAGGCAAAACGTTTCATGATGCCAAAAATAATGACAAAGGATTAATACCGCATATCAAATTAAAGAACCCCACTGCTTAAAAGAGTTCCATTCATAATCAACGCTGACATCGAATCATTAACAAAACTGATCGGCACTTGCTAGACGAGGAGTGATAAGAGCTTCACCAATCAGTACCAGAAGCATAAACTATATGGGTTCTGTATCACATCGTTTGCTTCGATGGTAAGCTTTATTCGCAAGAGCCAGTCATCTACAGAGCAAAGAGTAAGGATGAAGATGTTGCTCAGATATTTGTTGATATGCTCGAAGAAATCATCAACAATATTTATAAGACTTTGCCATGAAGATGATCTTCGCAGATTAAGATAGGCGTGAGTTCAATGATGCAGCGCACTGCTAGATCTACAAGCGTTTATTTAATGAAGACAACGTGAGAGACCACTGCAATTTCACGGGGAAACATCGTGGAGCCAAAGCTCCCTCCAGCCAACATTCAGAACTTGGCTGGTTATGACTCTCGTCTATTTATCCAGAGTCTCGGCAAAAGCGAGTGAAGCATTCAATGCATTCCTAATTATGCATAAAAATACATTAGCTTCAGGAATGAAGTCGTTGTTGGTTCTTATACCAAAAAATTAGGTAAGAAAATTGAAGTAAAAAACGACCTCTGATGTATCGCACCTTGACAACTTGAGAGAAATTCCTTCCATTCTTGAGGTAGATTATAAATACAGTGGAATCCCCTAAACCGGACACATTTGGGACCGGAGGAATATCCATTTTAGAGGGGTGTCCGGTGTACAAAGATTTTACCCAATTGTATGCCGCATATTGTATTGTCTGACTGTTAGTACAAGTACATGGATCAGTAAAGGAACAAACAACATGGATAACAAGAAAGCTTTTCAATGTCATTTTATCTAATTTACAAAAAAATTCAGTGTCACACAGGATAATATGATTGCCACTTTTAAATCATTTAAACATGGAATGTTCACGATTCTCTGTCTAAATTTCCAAAAAATGAATCCATTGTTAACTGCATCTGATTACGACGTTCTTTAACTATTTACCTTTTGGTTAGATTCTTAGACTTTTTGCTTCAGTACCGATAGAACAATGAGTAATTAGTCGATGCACGTTTCTCACCACTGATTGGGATTTCACAGCTGCATGATTACAGTTTTAATTTTAATCACGTTTAAAAAGGTGTAATTTGATTTTAACAGCAAGCTTAAAACTTTCACGTCTGGTATAACGAGATCAATTTAGTCAGTAAGTGATTCCGGACTCAAAATACCGTCCGGTTTCCGGAAGTTAGGGGTTCCGGTTAACTGAGGTTAAAAATAGAGAAAATGTATAAGAGATTTTAGGGCCGAAAAAAAGGTTTGGTAAAGAGAGGATTCCGGTTTAATGAGGCTCCAGTTTAGAGGAGTTCCACTGTATCAGAAAAGGCTTCATGACGAGCACAATGACTATCCACCTGCTCCTAAGACACTTATGATCACTATAGATGAGAAGCTGATTCCTAATCTGAATGATAAGAAGAGATACGTAGTTGATCACAAACACTCATGCTGTATGAAAGCCTCGATCCGAGAATCCAAAGGATTTATATATAGGGGAAGAAGCGTCAAGGAAGAGCCTTAGCTGAAGATATATATATATATATATATATATATATATATATACACACACACGAAGTTGCACGCAATGAATGAACTCGAAAAAGATTCCTTCATGTTGGTGAACAACACAGTCTTTGGAAAAACTATGGAACACATCAGGAATCGTGTAGATGGGAAGTTAGTCAGTGATAGAAAATAAGCATTGAAACTTGCAGCAAAATCCAACTTTAAGCATCGCACGATATTCAATGGAAATTGGGAAGCAATTCATATGAACTGACTGGTGTTCGATAAACACTTTTATTGTGGCATAAGCATCCTCGATAACAGCAAGACATTGGTGTATGACTTCCACTATAACTACATCAAGAAGAAGTATGGAGAGTGTGCTAAGCTTCTATCCACAGACACTAACATTTTGATGTGTGAGATTGAAATTGAAGGCTTCTTCGAGGATCTAAGCGGTAATGTGCCACACCAGTAACTACCCTGGCGATCACGTGTCAGGGATCTTAACCAGCTGCAACAAGAAGGTCGAAGGAAAGATGAAAGATATAGCTGGTGGAAAGATTATTGAAGAGTTTGTTGTGGATTGAGACCAAAACTCTACAGCTATGAGATGTTTGAGGGAAAAGAGGAGAAGAAGTGTAAAGGGATTAAGAAGACCTAAATAAGATGTTTTAAGGAAAAGAGGAGAAGTGTAAAGGGACGTGGTTTCATGCTACTCTGGTTTTAAGATTTAATGAATGTAACCGACAGGTTACAATTCATAGACCCAACATTTTGGACACTCCTGTCTAGTGGCTTCATCAGGGGTGATCTAAACGCTGCAAAAAGAGGTCCTTTATACGCTCACTAATTAGCTGCCCTTTTTTTCTAACAAGGTGCAATTAGTAGTCAGGAAGAAAGCCGCCATTCTCATGGTTTAAAGGAGCGTGGGCAGAGTTAATATGCCAGGCTCTCCAACCCAATTGTATGTTTGGTTAGGCATGTGTGCTCTGACATCGCTGAATTTTCCATTTTGCAGAAGAAAAACGCTTTTTAATGCTCTTTGAAACGTGTACCAAAGTGTACCAAAGTCATATAAATTTAGTTGTGTGGTGTGACACGTGCTCCCGTCACATGTACTTGCATGAATTCAGAAATGAAATTCCCAGAGCTCGAAAAAATAAAAGTATGTCTTGAAGTCAATCCACATTCTACTTTAAATAAACTTATTTTGTTTTACCTTTGTAAAGTCTGATTGCATGATTGTTTTCGAGGTAGAATCCTTCAATCAGGCTGATGTAAACAACGTCGCCATGAAAAGTAAACAAAGATAACAAAAAAGCACGTAGTCTTTTCTTGCCGGTGAAGTCTCGCAGTTGTTTTTTCTTGTTACTTGATCTATTTTTTGGAGCGGCAACTTAAAGCTATGGCTGCCCTATTGTCTTGTTCGTTCTCTTCACATTCCAATAGCACTTGTGATTTTTCCGCGAGGTTTCCAGGGAAGAATGAATTCTTTCCTTTGTCTTCCTGTACGAAGGATATTAAATCTCATTTGCGACAACTGAAAGTTGCTCAAACATCTGTTAGGTCGGAAAAAGACCTCATTTTAGCTAGAGTGGGATTCTTTGATGAAATGGGGGACAATATGACAGTGTGTCCGAAGCATCGCGCTGCGCTAGGAACCTGGTAGAGACCAAGTCTCAAATGTTACCATCCTCTGCATGGCAATAAGCAACGAAAACCAGAAAGAGGAGCAGGCCTACAGATGTGTAAAGAGATTAAAGAGAAATGGAGAGTTCTTGTTCCCGTCGGTGCAGGTATGGTGTTGTTTTCATTTTTTGCTGTTTGGAATCATGTTTCTTGTAGAAACAGATAGACACCAGTGGTATTCCTTGTTCTTCTGCCAGAGAATTAGGCAATTAGGATAGGCAACCAACAGAATTTGTAAGTAGTTCATTTCTTAGGTCAATATGACGATAACTGCTCACTTCTTGTGACAGAAAAGCTTCAACAGGAAACTGAGAAAAAAAGGTAGAAGGTAAAAGGTAGTCGATAACTTTCGACTTTAAAACAGGTTCAATTTCTGCGTTGGCTATACGAACTTGCTTTTTTGGTCCTAAGGGAGCTACGTCACGATATTTTGAGTCATTTTTACAGTCGTAAAGAGTTGCCTTTAGATAGAATGAAACCTTGAAATGATCATTTTAAAGGGCAGAAAGACACTAAAGATGCAAGAACGGAACAAAGATCGCTATTCGTTAAGAATGGTGAATATAAACAAGGATTGCAAATGAAGAACTCATCCAGTGTTTGACGAGCAGTTGATAATAAGAAAGGTAAAAAGATCGCAGCTAACGACAATGATTTTGTAAGAGCGGTTTCTTTTTGTTGTAAATCTACTATTTGCAATCGATATAAAAAGACATAATACCGACTAACTTATGAAGTTGGACCCCTTCTCCTTTTCCCTTTTAAAATATATTTTAATGTTTCTGCTACGAACTATTACAGGTATTTGCAAATTACGCCGCAGCGAACATAGTGCTGCTCTCGTCGTTGAACCCGCATCACCAGAGCTTCAGCCCTCTCCTGATCCTATTGTAGTCAGCGAGCCTGGACCTAGTCTTTCATCACTCCAAGAACAGTCTAGTGAGATAAATTTTCTTCTTTGCATTTTTGCTCGGTTTCTTAAAGAAAGGGAAAACGAACGCACTTGTAGTATATTATTTTTTTGGGGTAATGTACATTTTTTAAAACTCTATAGGCAATACCCAACCCACAACTCCCGGCAGGGACAGATGATATAAGTTCTGAGGCACCTTCATACGCCGCACAAGAGGTCGGTCCTGGGGTAATCAACTCTGCAACTTCCAGTGGGGTCAGATGATGCAAGTTCAGAGGCCTTTTTCGTCCGCTTCACAGGAATCAGTACCTGAGGTCGAAACGTCGCTAGAATGGCAGCCAACTCCTCAAGTACGGTATAGGCTTCACTTTCTGAATAACTTCCTCCGGAACTCTGCGAACGGAAGAGTAAGTCCCATTCGATCTCAGCTTTGTACAGATGTTTTGAATTTGTCCTCTTCCTCAAGTCGCTACTGCAAACGTAAAGCAGTGCAAGCAGTAGAGACAGTACTGGAGGCAATTGCGCCACAGCAGTCCACTTGGCGTTTCAATCGGGTTGTTGAGAGGTACAGCAGTGGAAGGGGTGGCAACAGGCCAGATAATCGACTTCTTGGAAGACTCATAAACCTCAATGAAGAGGCAAATTCATGGTATACCAGACAGCAGATACTCTCTATTTTTGTTTGTGACCACTCGAAGTCTGAATTATCGACCTTAATTCTGGGTCTTACAAAATGGAGAATTGACGAAGCAAGAAAACACGCTTTTCTTAACGAGCCTGGTCAACAAATAGAACCACCACAGATCAAGCAAAATAGACTGCACCCAGCAAAGGTAGACCACCTTCTTTATTTTGTTTCTAGTCCGTCTCTTTTGGAAGATGTCGCGTACAGAACAAAAAAGTTGAAACTTTCCGATGGTGACACACTGGAAATTCCTAATGTGGTGAGAAAGGTGATGGCATCGAGACTTGTCCAACTGTACACATCGTACTGTTCCGAGACTGGATTTCAACCTTTAGGTCGATCGACGCTGTTTAACATACTGAAGGTAAGCAGTTTTGGAAATAGAAGAAAGTCTCTTGATGCGTAATTAAGGCAGTTCCATTGATGATCCTTATCAATTACTAAACAAACCGACTTTGCTCTGCCTACATTTTAACATTGTATCTACACCATCCAGGTACCTTAGTCCTAAACTCTGGAATAACATCACTACTAGTAAGGAGATCGATGTACAAATCGCTGCCTATGATCGATGTCAAGATATAAAGAAAAGAGATACTGCATCAAACATGTTATTATTTCACACTTATGTCTCATTGCGTACATGTAGTCACTAGGTAGTTGTCCCCTACCAAGGGTACCTCGTGCGAGATAGTTTTAGACACAAGTAAAGTTCATCATCCTATTTTTGTGATGCACCTACAAAAATAAGATAGATAAACTAACAGGCATAACATGCGTCAAACGTTGCTGTTGACTTTTTTTTTTTCAAAAGGTATGCGCGGCTCCTAAAAAGAAATCACTCACAGGGCTGGACAGCATTCAAACAGATGATGTGTGTGCCTTTGCTACATTAGTAGAAACAGCAGAAAGGTTATGCTCACTCGGTAAGTAAAATCGTTGAAATTAGGAAATGCTAAAGAAAGAGCAACTTACGAGACCATAAAATGGTTAGTGAATTTCCTGGTAATAAAAGGTTTGAAAAATACTTTATTCCCATGTTATGCGCGTAGATGAAAGTTTTTATATCAGTTGTATAGCATCTAGAACTGCACATATAAACTGTCAAGGTTTTTAAAAAAAATATATATATATATATATATATATATACACTTTTTTTTAGGTCTACAAGAAGAAGGAACGAAAGATATGAAACGCCGCTTGAAAAGTGTGAGGCAGTATTTAAAGAACGATTAAAAAATCCACTTAGTAAGAGAGAGTCCTCGTCCTGACCACTACCGACAACTTGCCTTGAGTAGTTCCGAACCAGAGTTCCACGAAAGCTGTGCGCATCTACACACGGTCAACTGTGATCGATGCAAGGATCTTAAGAATGTAATAGCAGACCTTCAGTTGGTATTTGACTCATAAGAAGTCAGATTCAGGTGATCATATCTGTTTACAGTTGATACCATTTGGTTTCCTCACAACCTTAGTTTTGTTTTCGAATTACATGGAAAGAGTATGCAACTGAAGTCCACAATATGTAACTAGCAGTCAAAGATGACGTGAAAAATAACTGTCAATCTCAGCATCATATCACAAAGGCTGGAACCCTTTTTTTCATCTTCTTAAACTTTTATGAAATGCTTGAGAACTGAACCCAGCTATTTACCAACTTGTTTTCAACTGGAACCATGAAATTAATTTACCAAACAATATGCAAGTTTTCAAATCTTAAAAGAAAGCATATAATCTAAGTTATAATGTTATACGTCTTTCAGCAGTAAAGACCAGCTGGAAGAGTTACAGTACGATGTGGATAACGCAATTCCTGATATTGATGGATGGAAAGCGCATATCCTCAGGGCGGCTCACCTGGATACTTCAAAAAGAGCGGTTATCGAGAACCTGGCCAATAACCAAGTACTTATCATCATGGACTGGGCTATGAAATTTCTCCCAATCGGTTACCGGGAAACACAACGAGATTGGTTTGGGAAGAAAGGAAAGTCATGGCATGTTTCTGTTGCTGTCAAAAAGGGGGATGACGGAGAAATTGAGGTAGAGTTTCAGTTGCATCTGGGTGTAATATAACTAAGGTCGACGTCTAGAAAAAAGAAAACCTACAGCTGATTTATGATAAGTGTTCATCACGCGAGCGTAACAGAAAGAGTGATAAACTAATCTAGTAGTCATCGGACTAACTTAGATCAACGCAATAAAGTGAAAGCGATACTGCAACCAAGATATCTGTAAACATTATATCTGTGAAGAAGACATTGGCCAGAAAAAGTTGATTTACACATTTTACGCAATGTCTGGAAGTAAAAATGTTGGTAAACCAGAAATGCAAGTACAGGTTTTCAACAAATTCCCTATTGCGTAGGTGTTTCATAATATAGAGCTTTACCTCAACATTGGCTGTAAGCCTAATGGTGACAATACTAATTAGGTAATACAATCCCGTTTTTTCTCTAGACAAGAAGCTATATCCACCTTTTCGACAAATGCACCCAAAACTGGTTTGCAGTGGCATCAATTCTGGAAAGTACGGTTTTGGCTTTTAAGGCCAGTTATTCCAACCTCAGTGAAGTTTTCTTGCGACCCGATAACGCTGGGTGCTACCACAATGCGTATCTTATTCTCTCATTGCCAATTCTTGGTGAGCGTGTCGGAATCAGAATCTTCCGCTATGACTTCAGCAATCCCCAAACCGGTGGAGATGTTTGTGACCGCCGTAAAGCCACTCTTAAAAGTCACATGCGGCGATTTATATAAACGAGGGAAATGACATAAACACCGCCAATGACATGAAGGTTGCAATTGAATCGTATGGTGGGGTAAAGGGCTGTTATGCCACTGTAGCAGAAATCCAAGATTCTTTTCAAAGTATGACGAAACATAAGTGTTGGATTAAGTTGGTTCTCTTAAAATTTACTAGGTGGTTTAACCATTTAAACAAGTTTAACCAGTTAAAAATAATTTTGTAACTTTTAAATGTTTACTGCTTTCGATATTTTTACTGACTGGATAAATAGTCAAACCAGCGAAGATAGTTAAATACACAGGTAGTTCAAATGTTTAAACTTGGTTAAAAAGCTACACTGGACAAAATGCATACCTTAACTGGGTTAAATGGTTCAAATGGTGAAATAGTCAAACTATCGAAAACATTATAACCTCACAATTTACACAACCTATATTAACAGGTTAGACTAATTCATTTGGTCAATCAAGCTTAAACTGTTCCAGTAGACAACAGAGAAACAGTTGAACCGCACAAATCGATCTTAATTGGTCGAAGTAGTTCCCATAGTCAAACTAAATTAATGCTTCAACAGAAAAAAAAAAGTTACTAGCTTAATCAGTTCAACGTTATAACCTGGACAATCTACCTGAAATGGTTTACCTGGTTTAACAGTCAAACTAAGATCACCTGACAATAATTGCACAGATTATCTTAGCCGTTTGAAGTACTTTAAACCGTCAAACCAGCCGAGACAGTCAAACTGCACCGATTGCAAAATCTTTGTTAATCACTTGAAGAAGTTCAGATGGTCAAACTGGCTAAAATGGTTCAACTGCACAAAATGCATAACTAGCTTTAATGGTTCCATTGCACGCAACTGCACCACCTAGCTTAATTGGTTTAACCAGTTGAGATAATCAAACCACAAAAAAACAGTGAAATCGCACAGTTTGCGCTATCTATCTGGAACGGTTGATGGTGTTCAAATGCTCAAACTGGGTTAATTGAGTTCAACTGGACAAAATGGATAACCAGCTCGAAAAGTCAATCGCAAAAAGTGAACAATCAAGAAAAATTGTTGAAAATAGCCAAATAGTCAAGCTAGCTGGGACAGTTAAACTGCACAAATTGCCCAATCTTTCTTAGCTGGTTAAATTTGTTCAAATGGCTTCCATGGCTTCTTCAAATAGCTTCCATGGTTCAACTGGACAAAATGCTAAATTTTTCAACTGGTTAAATAGTCAAATTAGGGATGAGTACAAGGATCAGTGCAATGGTCAACCTACTTTCAATTGTTGAGATGCGCAAACGGCAAAATCTTCCCCAGTTGGTTTAATAAGTCAAAATAATCGAATTAGTTTAATCAGTTCTACTTTTGAAATGGTCAAACTTGCTGAAAGCTATGAAGTAAGGAGGTCCTCTTATTATCAAACCCACAACGAAACAGATGGTGGGTTCCCTGGTGAATTGCTTGCAAGTATTGGTGTGTCATTGTCATTAAAAGCATTAACTGGGAATGGTATTCAGGCTTACAGTAGATACCAACACATTTACCATGGCTACCGGTTTTAATAGAAGCAAAACGAAAAATACAACCAAAAGAAAAGGACTACTAGTGAAGAAAAAACTCACCATTCAATGGAGTCCCTCTAGTGGAAGCAAGTCTGAGAATAAAGCACTGTACAATAATGATATAACTAACTGGGCAAAGTGAGTGGGGAAAAAGCAGTTTATGGGTGTGTTTCTCAGAGATTAAATAAGCGATAGGCATAGGATAGGATAACGTCATAAATTTTCATGACAGTGTGGGTGGTGGTACACATTAAGTTGTGATGAACATTCAAAGAGAAAATTGAATCCCTCGACAGTTTTGCTCTCATTTGTCTAAAAGAGGTTTTAAAGGTGTCCAATAGATTAAATCTAATGATGTGTATAACAGCACACAGTATCAGGATTTGTTCAGTGTCTTAGGTGAGACTAACTATTTTTTGTATTACATGAGTGACCACAGTATGGGGAAGACATATTATAATGTCGTAGTATCTTATAGCATACCAATTATGCTATTATGAAAAATTAATAAAACAGTACTTTATTTAAGCATATATTTTAACAGGTATATTTACTGAAGATCATAGCAAAATAGATACACCTGTGGAAGGTATTGAAGGATCAGCAGAACCACCAGGACCAATAGATGATAAGGGTAATACTGGCCCAAAAGGAGAGAAAACTGATAGAGGTCTAAATAGAGCTGCACAAGGCGCTAAGATATTGGTTCACAGGGGCCATCTGGTAGTGGTAATTCTGCAGACTTTTCCACTGCTTTATTAACAAAAAGTATCTTAATACTATTGCTGACAACATACTGAGTGGCTCTGAGACTTTCCAAGGTCATATAAATATGAATAACAACCGTTTTAAGAACTTGCATACACCTACTTCAAATAATAATGCTGTTAATAGGGTATCAAACTTGGCTTTATATCTGCTAGTGGTTTGATATCAAAAACATACTGTGAAAGGAAATATTTTAAGAAAGATCGAATTATGTCGATTTTCTTTTGCCACCTGTGTAAAGACGCTCATTGAATTAAGTTCCCATTTAAGAGGAGTGCCATTTGCTAAACAGTTATTTACACCAATTGAAAACTGTAGACAATATTATCCTACACATGTGTTCCTTCACTGATGCTTTTGGGCAACATTACAAGAAGTAGGTTACTTTGAATTTACATGTACTTGTACTTTACATGTGATTGATTAATTATTTATTAAGTATTATGTAATCATTACATATTAGTTTCAATATGTTGTGCCAGTAATTGTGATAATATAAAAGGGTTTTCTTTGATTTGGTTATTGATTTGTAATCTATATTGATTTGCATATTCTTTAATATGATGATTAAATTGATAATCATCGGTTTTCTATTACAATTGATCTGTTGTAGGACATTGCTTATCTTTTCAAAGACTGATATTGCCCCATTTTTGTTCCTTGTTGTTATTGTCATGTCATACTGTTTAGTTACATTAGATATTACCCTATTAAGAAAGTGTTTCTTGAAATAAATTAACCTTCCTGTTATTTACACTTGTTATCAAAGAAGCTACAAAACTCTTTCACTGGTTCATAGCCATCTACTTGCCCACAATTGGTGCCTACTATCACATGATTATTCTCCATCAACATTTTTCTACTATGACTGATAGTTCCTTTATTTGCTTATAACAACGAATTACTTCATCCGATTCAACATGAATTATTTCATAACAATACATACTATAACATTACATAGATGTTCTGTTTAAATATTACTAGGGGTTACCCTTGGTTTCCATAAGTTATATTTCATATTAAGTAGTTCCTCTTCTGCTTCCAATATATTGCCTTCATTAAAATATCTGGTATATTCTGTATAAATATGTATACTATCTTGGTCCTCAAAGTAATAGGCATCTAGTCCACTATAATCTATAAAGCTACCATCATAACTATCATTACTATCTGAATAACAGTCTTGACTATCATATACAAAATCACTATCTTGACTACTATTTTAAAAACTTCAAAAAACTTTGCTCGATTGTGCAGCTTGTGCCGTTTATTAATTGAGGTTGATTAGACCATTCAAAGTACTCCAATCAGTTTAAAAAGATTGTGCAATTTTTGTCAGTTGACCTTTGACTGTTAAACCACTCGAACTATTTCAGCTAGATTATCCAAATTTTGCAGCTGAACTGATTAACATGGCTAATGCTAGCTAGCTTAGGCATAACTCTCGATGGTTTGACTATTTCACTAGTTAAGACCATCAAAAACAGCTAAACTGTACTAATTCCACAATCTATCTCAACTGGTTAAACAAGTTCAAATGGTTAAACTTGCTAACTAGCATTTAGCAAGCGAAACAGATAACTTAATAGGCTTGACTGCACAAACCTCTCAACTTAGTGTAACTGGTTGAAATGGCTAAATAATCAAACTAGCAAATCCCGTGAGGGTAAACAAATCATACTATCTATCCAAAATTGTCGAAGTAGTTCAAATGCTCAAACTACGTTATTTTGCTCAAGCCGAATAAAATGCATAAGTAGCTTGATAGGATCAGCTGCACAAACTTCAAAAATAAGCTTAATTTTTAAACTCGCTAAATAGTCAAAATACCAAAGACAGTTTAACTGCACAAGGTGCATGATCTATCTTAGTTATTTAAAGTTGTTGAAATTGCCATACGAACTTCAATGGTTGAACTGGAAAAAATTCAGAACCTGCTTACATGGTTCAACTGGTTAAATAGTAAAACTAGGGAAGACAGTTAAACTTTTTGAAGTAGTGCAATGGTCAAACTGCCTTCAATCGTTGAAGTGTACAAACGACAAAATATAGCCCAGTTCCTTTAAGAAGTTAAAATCAAGAAAGTAGCTCAATTAAATCAACCGGTTATAAATAGTCCAACTGACGAAGACATGCACAAATTGCCCGATCTTAATTTGTTTAAGTACTTACACACTCGATACAAAAGCTTCAAAAAATTGACTGGACAAAATGCACAACTATCTTAATAAGTTTAACTGCACAAACTGCCAACTCTAGTTGAATTGATTCAAATTGTTGAAACAGTCAAAGTAATTCATAACTCATAGCTAGCTTTAATTGTTGAATTAAAGAAAATGCAAAACTAGGTCAAATGCTTCAGCTGCACAATATGTACAATGTAGCTGAATTGAATCCAGCAGTTAAAATGGTCAAAGTAGGTTAATCGATTCAATTGGTTAAATAGTCAAACAAGGGAACACAGTCAAACTGACTAGTTCAAATCGTTTGTTTGAGTGGACAAAATTCAGAACCAAATTGAAATAGTTAAACTACACAAAACGCATAAGTAGCTTAAATGGCTTCACCGGCTAATCGGTTCAACTGAGCTGAAAAGAACGTAAATTACCAGCGAAAAGCAAAAATGTTGTTGTGGTTCAGATTTAAGTTAACAGAACGTGATTAGCTTCGAACAGGTGAGGACATTGCA